GTGAATCTATTTTTTTCAAATACTTACTAGTCTTTAAGTATTCCTGCTAACATAATAGTTAAAAATGTCTAATTAATTGAAAATTTGATCCTGTATTTTTTTTTGTTATAATATGTGAATCGATTATTGTAAAAGTTGCTGAAATAAATAGCATACACACGAGAAGAATCAATTTTTTTGAATATTTACTAGTTCTTGAGTAATTCCTGCCAATGTAATAACAAAAATAGCCCAATTAATCGAAAATTTGGCCCTGTAAATTTTTTATATTATACTATGCGAATCGTTTGCTATGAAAATTTCTTCAAAAAAATAGTTTGTATATGAGGTGAATCGATCTTTAGATACTAGTATTTCGTTAGTAAAGGTTTGCCGATTGATTTATGCACAAAATCGATCAGTATCATTACTATTATTGGACCTCACATGATTTTGATTAATTAGTATATCGGAAGCAGGGACCCGTAAAAATTTTGATTTATTTCGATTTGACCAGCATTAAAAAAAAAAACAACGATAATCCCGGCTGAAATTAAAATGGTGAAAATTATAAGCCAATTATTTTATATCACATGATACAAACTGAAAATTTGATTTCGAAATTTTCTGATCGGAAGCCCCAATGTCACATGTGGAGAAAATTTCTTGGGCCCAAAATTTGGGAGTTGGTGAGAAGTCTTGATATCTTTTTTTGATGGCCATTTTTAAACCTATATTTTCTCGTACGCATAAATTATTTTCATTTATCAATGCTAGACACGCGTCTTCGTTACTTAATCAAGTAAGCGTTTATACAAGCCTGAATTTGTTCAAAAAAGTAGCTAACTTTTCACCGTTTAGCATTGGGGCCCACATACGGGACCAAAAGCAGTAAAAATTGTGGAAGTAGGCCCCCGAGATGGTCTACAGAATGAAAAACAATTCGTACCTACAGAAAACAAAATCGAATTTATCAATAAACTGTCCCAGACCGGCTTGAAGGTGATAGAAGCAACGTCATTTGTGTCCCCGAAATTAGTGCCACAGGTAAATTAATTATCGTTATTACTTTTGTCCGGATTTAAATTATAATTTTATTTTTAAGATGTCAGATGCTGTTGAAGTTATGACAAAAATTACACGCAAACCAGGCGTGGATTATCCCGTCTTAGTACCTAACCTTACGGGATTGAAAAAAGCTATATCATCGGATGTAAAAGAAATAGCAATATTCGCTTCTGCTTCTGAGACATTCAGCAAAAAGAATATTAATTGTACAATAAATGAAAGTTTGGAACGATTTCAAGATGTTGTAGATATAGCCAATGCTGAAAGAATTGCTATCAGAGGGTATGATGACTGGTTCTTATGATGATAAACATCTATGCAATGTTGTGCCCATTTAATGATTTCAATTTATTTAGATATGTTTCTTGCGTTCTTGGATGTCCTTATGAAGGAGAGATTTCTCCCATTGCAGTTGCTACAATCGCTGAGAAATTGTACAAAATGGGTTGTTATGAGATTTCTCTAGGCGATACGATTGGCGTTGGCACTCCTGGTCTGTTGCGTTATTGCTCTGATTTATGAACTTTGTACGGTATTAAATCGGGTTAGTAACAACGGTCCATAAAATCAAGGTTCGTTATCGAGGATGTTAAAAGCTGTATGTCAGGTTTTGCCAACGGAACGTATAGCGATGCACTGTCACGATACTTATGGTCAAGCCCTTGCCAATATATACCACGCACTAACGGTTCGTATTTTTAGTTATCACGATATGAATATTTTTACTTTCAATACTGATTTATAATAACTCTCATAAAGTCAGGAATAAGGGTCTTTGACAGTTCTGCTGCAGGTCTAGGTAAATAGTTTGACATAAATACTTAGACACTATTCGCGGATTTGCTAAATGTCGTTTATTTTAAGGGGGATGTCCCTTCGCTAAAGGAGCAACCGGTAATGTTGCTACAGAAGATGTGGTGTATATGCTTCATGGAATGGGTTATGAAACAGGTATCGACTTATCGGAGCTAGTGCGAGTTGGGAATTATATATCCCAGCAATTAGGTCGTCCTAATGGATCTAAAGCAGCTGCAGCTTTGAGTTTAAAATTGCAACAGAATTGATGAAATGCATTCATCAAAAAAAATATATAAATTTACATTTAAAGCACACTAGAGAAACTCAATAATATTAATATATTTAATATATTTAATATTAATATATTAGAATATTTTAATTATGTATTACAACTTAATTATTGCGTATCCCGTATAGGTAACAAGAGACTGTTTATCATGACCGAGTAAATCTTAGAACAGGCGTCTGTACATTGTTCAAAAGCCTACATTTATATTATTAAAAAATTAAATCATAATCCATTTATCTGATAACAATAATGAAGATTCTTACTTGAGTTGTTAAAGCCAGATCAACATCACCAGACTGTAATATATGTGTCACTTCCTTCAACGAAGGCATATACGATAGGATTAAATATCCGGTTTCGTGTTGTTCTTCTACAAGATCACTATCCATATAAATCTCACCGTCGATATACGACTAATTGCCGAAAAAGAACAGAGAATATATACATTATTTTACATAAATAAATAGATCATAATATATATGGTTTCTTTTTACCGCTGATGATGCCGGTACTAAATCCAACATCTCAATTCCTGCATCAGCCACAGCAACTGATGCACATGTAATAGCGGCTGCCAAACATGATGCTGTTCCATCGTTTTCGAGCACTGTAATATAGATATCGATAGTAGATTTTGGCAATAAGTCAAGCCGTATTGAAGGCACAAGTGCTTCAATCACTAGCTGAGAAAGGTCTTTCTCCTGAGCATCCTAAAAATTGTTCATAAAGCAGTGTAAAACAAACGAGCACTTTAAGTAATTATAGCAACGAAAGTTTAATATTACTCTATATGGTTGTCTACGTTTTTGACAAGAAAAAGGCGCAAATTTAATCTCAACATTCAAATTTCCTTTTCCACTAAAGGATGGAATTTTTGTCTGACGCGGGCCATAACTAAATTATGTGAATCCAATATTAACGATCTTTTAGGACTAAATTAATATACTAAATTAACAAGCCTACACGCCACAAGCAATCTTAGTCCGACGTATTTCTATAAATGCTGAACCATTAGCTTGACTTATGAGGCCTGTTTTTAAAACTTAAAGAGGAAAATATAAATTATATATGCATTGTTATATACAATTATTGTAGAATAATAAATATTTACAGATCGGACAAATGTCTTCTAAATTTCTTCCGTCGCGTCGCCGAGAATGTTCATCCTTTAAACACGTTCTTTTATCAGCTGATTTTATGATAATCGGAGCAACACTAACTTCCGGCCCTTGTATTCGCCTTCGGTCTACCATGGTCTAAAGAAACCCACTCGTAAAAACTGTAGAACACCAGCATAATGGAAATTGGTTTTAATTGGCCAGCATTTGTGATCTACATGTAGACGTTACACCAAACTGAAAACTGTC